TCACTTCAACCTGGAACATTTACTTCAGGCTGTTACATGAAAGAAAAACTTAATTTCCTAGACTATGTATGTTTTAGTCAGGCTTATGCTGACAAATACACTCAGAAAGCCTTGCCCAGATCACTTTGTACTAGCTTAGGTTTCCTGGTAAAGGCTCCCACAGCATCCTCTACCACTTCTTAGTACGTATCACACTTGTACTTATTTATGTCATTTACTCATTTAACAAACATATATTGAGTACCTAGTCTATGTGCCCAGCACTGTTCTAGAAACTAGGGATAACAGTGGTGTTCCAGAAGGACAAGATCCCTTGTCTCCTGGAATTTACCTTTCTTCTGGGAAGACAAACACACACACACACCCAAGAAGACAGTAGCTAGTGATAATGCTACGATGAAAACAAAACACAACGATGTGACAGAGACGGTGGGAAGGGCAGAGGTACTCTAAATTTGGTGGTCAGGGAAGGCCTTGTCAGGTGGTAGCACTTAAGCTAACATATAACTGACAAGAAGGAGCCATTCCAGGGAATGACAACAGTTAGTGCCAAGGCATATTCTTGGCCTATTTGAATAGAACAGGAGAGAAAATAATAGAAACAGGGCCCAAAGAGGGAGACAAGGGCCAGATCGCATATTAACTCATGAGGCCACCCTAAATGTTATTCTAAGCATGACTATTTAAAAGTTGACTTCTCAGGACGCCTGGGTACCTCAGTCAGTTAAGCGTCTGACTCTTGATCTGGGTTCTGGTCGTGATCTCAAGGTTGTGAGACTGAGGCCTGTAACAGGTTCCACGCTGGGTGTGAAGCCTGCTTAAGATTCTCTCTCTCTGCCCCTCCCCCTCCTCCCTCCCTCTCTCTCAAAAAAAAAAAGTTGACTTTTCTTAAATTGTCAGTTCTGTGAGGGCAATTCTCAGTACCAGAGTAGGTATCTTTTTTTTTTTTTTTTTGGTATCACCAGCATCTATCACATATGGTATGTGTCAAATGTTTGTTGACTAGAAAGAGATCATTACCTCTCCATATATAAACATAAAGGGATCTCAGGTGTCATACTGACTAAATTAGAGAAATATTCAAGTGAAATAGAAATTATAGTCTCTTGTCTACAAGAGAATACCTAAATTAGTTTTCTAAGTGTAGTGATACAGAAGGAAAAAATAAGCGTGAAACCCTAAGGACACCATTTGAATGGAAGTTCCCCACCCCTTTCCTGTAACACTTTCCTTCATAAGGAACCAAGCCAATTGCCCAACCAGTATGCAAAGAGAGGGCGTGGAATAAGTGGTGTTAGCTGATGAAAGAGTAACCCTACAATTCTATGTAATTTACAGTCATATAATCAATATTTTGTAATATTTTGGTAAACTAGCTGATGGGTGCTTTCCTTCTAGGCAGGATATCTTTTCCTAAATTTCAATCACCCTGCTATTTATTTGGAATGATGACTCTATAGCAACAGAACAAAAAAAAGTAGGTTTTTTTTATCTTTGGTAAAAAGGTACAATCTTGGGGAGTGCCTGGGTGGCTCAGTCTTTAAGCGTCTGCCTTCAGCTCAGGTCATGATCCCGGCGTCCTGGGATCCAGCTCCGCGTCGGGCTCCTGCTTCGCGGGAAGCCTGCTTCTTCTCCCTCTCCCACTTCCCCTGCTTGTGTTCCCTCTCTCGCTGTCTCTCTCCTCCCTCTGTCAAATAAATAAATAAAATCTTTGAAAAAAAAAAAAGGTACGATCTTGGTATGTGCACGAACAGTTTACAAGGCCTATAAAATTTAGAATGAAGAAAGCTGTACCTCGAAAACTTTCAAGCATAAGGAAAACATCAAATTAAAAAGCATACATCAATATGGAACATAAACGTGAGATGACCCTGTTTAGATCAGTCAGCAAAGGCCTAAGGAAACTAGGACTTAAATAAGGTAACAACACTTTGGCAGATGGAAGGCAGAATAACTTCTTTCAGATGAATGAGATAACTTTTGCCAGTATGCCAGGGAATGTGGAAAAATGAAAAACTGTTTCAAGTAAGGAGATGGAGCTGACTGAAGCAGAAGACACTGGCAAAAAAGTACAAGGATTCTTACAGCTAAACCGGACCTTATGAGACTCTTTCCAAAACCCCCTAATTCCAAGATGAGAAAAAGGAGACCCAAGAAAGGCAAACAAGTTTTACATAGAGCTAATGAGTAGCAATGCTGGCAAAGAATTCAGGTCTTCTGATTCTTTTTCATTAAGCACTCTGGGAAAGCACTATACCTACCAGGTGCCCTTAAAAAATCCAAAAGAAATATACCAAGTTTCCCTATCTTCAAAGATAGAATGTTGCTTAGGTGATGTAACACACACACACAAAAAAGAAAGAAACAAAGAAACAAAAACAGGATGTAAGTTTTTTTACAGAGCCAAATTATGCTCTACAAAAATACTAAGTCATTTAGGGAGCTGGGAAATTAGGAATAAAAAAGGAACCAAAAAGCAAATCAGTGATTGTTGAAGTGGTACTTGAAGGAAAAATTATTTTGATGGCTTGTGCTCAGAATGGCACAAAACCTAAGGGAAGAAACTGGGGAGAAATTAATAACTGTAACTTGAAAAAAAAAAGTTAAAAAAATATGTATTGCTTTATACAGATGAAAATGAACATAAAAGGGCAGATCAGGAAGTTCATGTTTGCAAAATTACTTAAAATTACAAAAGGACCAGTTACAATATATAACTAACAACAAGTTGTGCAAGTTCCAAGTGTAAGAAGTTTACAAGGCAGGTTTGGCTCACTGATTTCTCCCAACACAACCACTGACTGAGCTGTGCTTATGAAAACAAAACCACAGAATGAAGAAATTCTGTTTTCCAGAGAATTGTGAATTTTGAGATTATCTTTGTTTCTTTTAGGAGGGAGTTCTGGTTTGGTTTAAAATCTCAAGTTACCAATCAACTTACTCTACAATCCCTAAAACTACAAAATCCAAAAATAGCATAAACTATTTATGAGTATCACTAGCAAAGTCCTACTTACCAACTAGGGCCAGTATACATATTTACAAGATCTCACTCACCATTTTACTCATCAGATGCTTTACTGGCTTGGCCGCCTCCAGTTCCAACCACAAGTTACTTTACTAAAATATCCTCCTAGCAAGGAACAGTATCTTAAAGTCAATGATATACTTCATCATACCAGTACTGTAACACAGAACTCTGAGTTACACGTAAAGATCCAAAATCACCACCTGAATAACTATTAGGTAATAGGACTTGTTAGATTTGTAAATGTTTTACAGAAAGCTTTAGACCTATATAAGTAAAAGCTTGTCATGATTTGAATTCTCTACGATCTTTAAAACACACACACTACAGACCAGGAATCAAAAAATAGCTTTACACAAACAAGAGCAAAATTGTAGGTTTTGCTGAGGGCATCAGCCACTTAATTTAACCCCACTTCATCAAGAGCAGGAAGCCAGGCTGCTGTTTTCATCAGTTACTAGGGAACAAATAAGATAAAGGATAGACTGGGCAGAAGAGTCTACAGTTGAAATGACTATTTTGATGCAATTACTGAAAATTCCCAAAGTGTCACTAAGAAAAAGCACCTAGGGCTGCTTCAAAACGAAGTCTATCTACAACTGAGTGAGTGCTTTAAGGGGAGGAAAGACATACTGAGGCTCAGGATTGTTTTTTCCCCTTCTCGAGCCCCTCCTCCCTTCCCCCACCTAAACAGGAAAGAAAACTCGTCCAGCATAAACACAAGGCCAACGCTCACGATTTGTCACCACAACAAACTGGAGGTTAGACCAGCGCTCCTGGAGACCGAGCCCCAAGTCTTGGTTGCTAAACACAAAAAGGGCCTCTTTCCCACAGACCTGTGAACAGCGCGGGCCTTACCCAAGAGTTTTTTTTTGGTTGTTTCCCCACCTTTTCTCTCTCTTTTTTCTTTAAACGAAAGCTTTGGGAAATTGGCGACAGACAGCAAAAGTTTCCCTCTGAGCCAGACCTCTAAATCCGCCTTGCACTGACACACATTAGGTGGGCTGGTCCCACGCAGTCTCCACCATCATTACAAATTACAAACCTAACGATTAAAGAACAGAAGCGGAGAGGATAGAAAAGCTTCCACACCCACCCCACCACCGCCGTCCTTTCCAGACACCGCTTCCTGGTCGCAAAGAGCACAAATAACCCAAAACCATGGTGATAAGCAGAGCTGTGAAATACACACGCACAAGCCACACGCTGGGAACCTGCCACCACGGCCGGGAAAAACCGGCCGGGTGAGGAGGCGCAAGGCGGCCCCCTGTCATCTGAGGACAACAACACGCCCCGAAGAGAAGTGGCAGGAGGCAGGGGGAGTTGCCCCGAAAACAAGCCCGGAGCCGCCCCGCTTTCCCGGGAACGCAAGCTCCTCCGCGGCCGCGAGTTGCCGGGCCGCAGGACTGGGCGCCGGGTCCCGGGTGGGGGCGCGCCCAGGGAGGCGCCCCCCGCAGGCCAGGCGCCCCGGAGAGCCCGCGGCCCGCCCGGCCCCGCCTCGGGAAGCGGATGGGAGCTCGCTCCCCGCCGAGGCCCCTTCCCGCTCGGCCCAACTCACCGCCGGTGGGTTTGGTTCTCAGCCGCGAGCTGGGGCTGCCGTGAGGAGGCGGCGGAGGAGACGAGATCCAGGGCCCCGTCGCCGGGTCATCATACCCCCCGCGCGAGCCGGCCCGGGCCCCGGCCCCCGCCCCCCGGAGCCGTCCCCGCGCCCGTCCCGCTGGGGGAGCCCCCTCAGCCTCCCGCCCGCTCCGCCGCCCGGCCCCTGGCCGCCGCCGCCGCCGCCGCCTCAGCCCCGCGCGCTCCCGCCTCGGCCTCCCGCTGCCGTCCGGGGCCACCGCCGGGCCCCTCGCTCCGCAGCCGCCGTTGTCGCCAGACCCGACGAGCCGAGCGCAGAGCGGCCGCCCCCATCCGGCGGCCCCGCCCCGCGGGAACCATTCACCAGCCCCGCGCCATGACACCTACTGAGGCGGAAGTGTCGAGGAGCCGGCGGATTAGGACGACCGCATAGTACAGATGGGAGTGGGAGTGGGGGGGCCTCCGTGGGGAGCCAGCGTGGATCGAGTGCGGGGGCCGGATTCCCCGCCCCCTCCGGGCGACAGACTCCGCGGCGATTTAAAGGTGCTTGGTGGCGGTAGGGGGGTCCAGCTGGAAAATGTCATCCCAGTCAGTGTGACATCACCACATTCTAGTGTGATACCCCCAGAGATTGGGCAGTGCCTACCCGGGAAGCCCCCCTGCTGGTGAGGAATTACTTCAGTTTAGGCTCTAACGTTTCGTTGCCATCTAGAGACTTTCTGGCAGAGTGGCAACCGTGTACGGGATCTGGAAGCCTCCACGTACATCAGGAGCCCCTTAGGAGACTCTCCCGCTGCCGGCCATAGGAACCTGTGTTTGCATTAGGAGGTGAGAAGGAACCGCTGTGCTCAGGACCCAGTCCCTCAAAACGTGCAGTGAGTGAATGCTACCATAATGTTGCCTCTACCAGGAGATAGTAAGACTGGGTATTCAGGAAACGGAGTGCGTTGGGCACACAGCATTCAGAGAAAATGGACACTGTAAAAACTAGATTATCCTGGAGCGCCTGGGTGCCTCAGTCGTTAGGCGTCTGACTTTGGCTCAGGTCATGGTCCCGAGCCCCCATTCAGGCTCCCTGCTCGGCGGGAAGCCTGCTTCTCCCTCTCCCACTCCTCCTGCTTGTGTTCCCTCTCTCGCTCTGTCTCTCTCTGTCAAATAAACAAAATCTTTAAAAAAACTAGGTTACTCTAAAAGAAAAACTGTTGCCATCTCCCAGAGTCAAGAGATTCTTTCGTAGGACTTCAGATGTACCTTCCGCTGTGTAAAATGTTCTTATTCCTAAAGTGGGGACCATTTTTAGAGAGACAGTAGTATAATCTATTTATTTTTTCTATCCCGCAAGTGCTGGAGGCAGCAATGATCTGAATCCTACAAAGTGACTGTCCAGCATCATGGGTGTTTGCATATACTCTTTGAGGAGGGGGACAGGTGTGGCTAAGTCAGGATTCTGCTATTACACTGTATTTCTCAGATCTCACTTAGTATACATTCTTGACCTCTTTGGATCCCCATCTTCTCACACACACACACAAAAAAAAATGCTAATACTTTTGTGAAGAAGCAGTAATGCTCTGTTAGTACCTTAGGGCTTCTTTTCTGGCTTAAAGCGCTGGGAGCAGTTCTGTTTTATTGGGAAAAGGGAAGTTTATTTCCCTCGAGGACCAAGGTTAGCAAGTGTTCAATCACACAGGGCAGTTTTGTTTGCTTATTTTCACAGGAACTTAGAACATAAAGTCCTACATTGGGGCTGACCTGGGAAACATCAAAATATAGAGAGTGGGCAAGCATACCCCCTTGGGGAGGAGCCAGGAAAAAGGCAGAACTTGAGCTCTGGAGTAGACAGGCTTCAAACACACTAATTACTTACCATGCCTTGGCTCAACCAAACTCCATGACATGCTTCTAGGCTCCTACTATCTCAAGTTATGTCCCTTTCCTCTCTTCAAACACATCTCAAAATCCAAATTGAGGAAGCCTTTTCTGATTGACTCCCATTTTATTCTAATTATTTCATTCTACATCATCATGTCTATTTACTTCCTTGTACCTTATTTATACTTGTTGATCTATTTTCATGGTTCTTAGGTCATTTCTTCAGTCTCCCTCACTACATGGAGACCTCAAAATCTATTTCCCCCTCTCTAATATTCATTCATCCATCCAACCACTGTATGCCTCCTCTACTCCAGGTGGTCTCCTAGATACTGGGTCAAATGCAAAATGAATAAGACATGGTCTTTCCTCAGCTTGCAGTCAATGAGGGGGAAAAAAATGCATGGCGACATATATAAGACTTGGATAGAGCCAGAGAAGACTTCAGAAAAGGAGATATTTAAACAAAAAAGAAAAAGTCCATGCTCTGAAAAAGCTGACACTTCAGCAGAGAAGTGGCAAGAGATGGAATTAGTAAAGTAGGTTGAGTCCGATTTTAAAGACAACGAAGAACTCAGAGGTTTAACCAAACAGGTAATATGAAGGTATCTGTGCTTTACAGAGAGAGCCAGTGGCAATGAGGAGGATGGCTGACTGGAAGGTGTAAAGACTAGAGAAAGGGAGCCTAATTAGAAAGCTATGATGAGGGTTTGGTCAAGGAGAGACCCTGGAGAGAAGGGGGCAGATAGGAGAACTATTTCCTCCTAGACAAAATCAGTGCAGCTGGAGAGGGAAAGGGAGCTGTTGCTAGTTGGAAGCATTGAATCTCACTTAGGGTATGATATTCCTCTGGGGCCTAGAGTCTAGATTCAATGTTGCAGGCAAGAAGTTTGCTCAGGAGCTGCAGTGCTTAAGGCCAACTAGGAGAAGTTGACCAAAAAGCTGTGTCAGGAGAGAAGTTGAATCAAAAAACTCATCCAACTATCTGAACATTAGTGAATCCAAGGGGCTAGGAAGAAAAGAGAATTCAAGTAGAAGCCAACAGTTGTAAAACTGGGAAAACCAAATGAGAGTAAAGGTCTGAAGGAAAGGATAGGAGATAGAACATGGAAAAAGCCTTTGAAACAAGAGGGAAGCCTCTGATTTTTTAAATCTAGATTCCAGAAAACCTTTTATATATTTGGAAATAATTCCGAACACACAGAAAAGTTGATAATAAAAAGAGCACCTATATATCCTTTACTTGAATTTATTGATTAATGTTTTGCCCCTTTGCTCTAACACTTGTAGTCTCAAATAGGTAACACACATACACATTTTTTTCTGGCCATTTGAAAGTAAATTTCATACATCATGCCCCTTTATCCCTACATACATTCCTTTACATACACAGTGTATACAGTTATCAATTCCAGGAGCCTTAACATTGATACCATACTTTACCATCCATATTCCAAATTTTGTCAATTAATCCAATAATGTCATTCTTACCCTTTTTCCCCTTCGAGTAGAGGATCCAGTTTAGGATCGTAGATTGCATGTCTCTTTAGTCTCCTTTAATCTGCATCAGTTCCTTAGCTTTTCTTTGTCTTTGATATTTTTGAGGAGTACAGCCCATCCCCTTTGTTTGGACAAGAGAATGTTCCTCATTTCTGATTTGTTGTTCATGTTTGTCTCACATTTATTCATTATTAGATCCCGGTTATCCATTCCTGGCTAGAATACTGCATAAGTGATACTGTGTCCTTCTCAGGATATCAAACCCAAAGTCAGACGATGTCTCTGTCCCTCATTGGGTGATAATAGTTTTGGTCACCTTGTTGAGGTGTCTGATTCCCCCACAGTATATTTACTATTTTTTTCCTTGTAATAAGCAATCTGTGGAGAGACATCTTAGACCCTGCAAATATCCTGCTCTTCATTAAACGTGTTCCCTTAGATTTAGCATCTATTGATGGTTCTTACTTGTACCAGTCCTCCCTTATTTCTTATTAGTTAGTTATCTAATAATGATATAGACTCATGGATTACTATGTTTTTCAATGATTTGTAATTCTTTACAGTCCTTAATTATTTGGGTGCTAAAACTTTCCAGATTCAGTCAATGGGGGCCTTTTCAAGCTCCTGTGTCTTTTTTAGCCTGTCTGAATGTCAGATGTTCCAGACTCATCTTGATTCTTGCAGGTTCACCATTCCTTGAAGCATTGGCTTTCTCCACTGGATGCTTTGTGTCTGCCCAGAAAAAAAACAAAGGGAAGAGAAAATATGGATTATTTGTGTGGGGAGTTTTTTTTTTTAAGATTTTTATTTATTTACTTGAGAGAGAGAGAGAACACAAAGGGAGAGGGAGAAGCAGACTCCCCGCTGAGCAGAGAGCCTGATGCAGAGCTTGATCCCAGGACCCTGAGATCATAACCTGAGCCAAAGGCAGACACTTAAGCGACTGAGCTGCCCAGGCGCCCCATGTGGGAAGTTCTTATAGGCCAGGCCTGCAGGTAGCAAACACATAGATCTATTCTGCACATATCACATTGGTGGGAACTCAGGAACATGAATACTGCTACAGTGATTAGGAGCTAACACTATCCATGTGCCCAAGAGACATGACTTAGTAAAAATTAGGCCAGTCTCTGCCACACTTGTCCAAAAGCCATTTCCTATGTTACTTCTCCCATATTCATAGAATCCCAGTTTTGTTCAAATAGAAGGAAGATCCTTTGATTTCAAAGAAGGTAACTTCCTCTCACCAAATCAGGAAATAAATTACAGTGGTCCAAACCAATCCTGGTAATTCCATTTCTCGTCACCAATGACTAGTCTAGGAGTGGGTATAGACTCAGTTCTGGTCAATGAAATAGGAAAAGAAGTCTAATGGGAGGCTCATAGGAAAATTTTTCTTTTTGTATGAAAACGACAGGACCTTCACAGAAGAAATTCTTTTGTTCCTGCTTCTCTTTTTTGCTGAGACAAAGGAATGAAGACACCAGACTTGGAGCTGCCAAAGCCATCTTGTGACCATAAATGTGACAGCAAACAAAGATGAAGACAGTCAACATGCTGAGGACAGCAAAGGAGACAGATGGAAAGAGGGGTCCTTGACGACAGAGGTAAGCTTCTGAATGAACCTGGGAGTGCCCACTGCTTCTGGACTTTTTAAGTAAATAAATGTTCGTATGTTTCAAGAACACCATTAGACAAGTTTTCTGTTCTTTGCTGCCAAAAATCATTCTTAAGTGACACAGGAGAGAAGTAGGAGAGCTTTTCTAGAACAAGGAGCTAATTGGTGGTATCCTAATGTTCTGAGAAGTAAAGGAGAATAAATATGAAAAAGAGGCCAGTGGATTTGCAATGAGAAGATCCCTGTTGATCTTGGTGAGAGCAATTTAAGTGGCATGGTGCAATGTGATGGGGCAGAAGCAATGTGATTCCTACAAAGGATTTTTCCTAGTATGAGTGGTGACCGACAAACTGGGAAGGATGGTTTGATCCAACTGGGTGATAGAATCTATTCTGGTCAATTCCCATATTCAGTTCCTAATATCCAAGGAAGCTGCTTGGATTCCTGCTGTCCGCTTCAGCAACATCTGGGAAATCATAAACTGAATCACTTTGCTCTCTTTACCACTTCTCACAGGAATAAGCCAGGAAAAGTTGTTCTGGACCCTTAACTGGTTTCATAGAGGGCAAATCCAGCATGTATGATGGGGACTAAATAGGGCCTTTTAAAAAACATTTTCTTCTAGGATTTATTGACTGAATAATAAGTACCAGGCATTTAGTTAGACAGAATAAAAAATGAATAAAGCACATTTTGTGTCCTCAGGGGCTTCACGATCTAATTAAGGAAATAAATTAGGAACAGTTATAACAAGTCCAAGATTGGTCCTCAAAGTGGCATTATAAGTGCTCAAGAATATAGCAGTTAACTGTCCTGAGATCACTGCAGAAGCATCTAGAAGTATTACTATTGACTGAACAGGGACTTAAAGAAGACAGCACTATTTCAGCCGGCCATCAGTGAGATGTTGTATTTAGTAACTATCTTTAAGTACCTTTTCCATGCAACATGTGAACAGAATAAATATGCTGTTACATTATCATATACAATGGACATGAGCTCTTCAGTATGACAGGTACTCCTTGGGAAGGAGTTATCGGTCTGCACTAGGCCACCAGAGAGCCATGGGGTTAGAAACTAAAACCAGGCAGAGATGAGTGTGGTATACAGAGCAGAGAAGTGAAGCACCCACCTGGGTTAGGATAATCAGGTAAGTGAGTCCCTCCTCTGTATGGTAAAAAGGTTTGGTCCCCTAATGGCTCCCACACTTCTTATCCTCCCCAGTATCTCCCCACTAAAGCTGGGGTGGTTGCTGGGCTGAATAGTGGCATTGCAAGTAGGAAATGGCTTCCCTGCTCTCAAGTGTAAGTCTTGCTGGTCTTGTTTACTTTTTGTATCGAAATAGGACATTTTGGGGACTGGGTCCCAGCAGAAATGATGGCTTTGGGTGGAAGGGGAGTTTGGAAAGAGGCCATGGCTGTGGGATTAAAGAGAAAGAGTCAAATACAACTAGTTAACATTATGAATGCATGAAATGCCACTGAATTGTACACTTTAAAATGGTTAATTGTGGGGCGCCTGGGTGGCTCAATCATTAAGCGTCTGCTTCAGCTTAGGTCATGATCCCGAGGTCCTGGGATCGAGCTCTGCACCCGGGCTCCCTGCTCCGCGGGAAGCCTGCTTCTCCCTCTCCCACCCCCCTGCTTGTGTTCCCTCTCTTGCTGTCTCTCTCTCTGTCAAATAAATAAATAACGTCTTTTAAAAAAAATGGTTAATTGTATGTTATGTGAATTTCACTTCAAAAAAAGGGGAGGGGAAGGGGGTTTGCAGGATTTAGAGATAATGAGCAAGAGACTTGATCCCTAACTTTCCTAATTTTCAAGAGTCAATCTAGAGCCTTCTGGGAGAAGAGCAATGCCTTAAATACTCCTACAACCGTGTTTATTCCTCCTCAGACCCTCCTTCCCCCTAATCATATCTGTTTCCTTCCTTATCTACACATGACCATCTTTCTCTCACTTTCTCCATATACCAACTCTTTATTCAGCAAAACCAAGGGATAGTGCTTTTCTCTCCCTTTCCCTGGATCATTGTCATGTCTCATTATCATGTCTCCACCATTCTGTAGCTTCTCACCTTCGACCAACTGTTACACAAGCTTTTAGCACCTGCCCTCCATATGTCTCTCCCTATTCTCAATTCTAAGCAAAAGCCAAAACCAAAACAAATGCTCTGGGAAGGGACACAGAGACCCACAAGGGAGAGGGCTATGATTCAGGACAGAAACGTGAAATTCAATCATTGACTATTATTTATGCTAAGTCATTTTGCACTTCCTGCAGACTCAGAAATCAAAAAGGCCCTAATGAAGTATCCCTTGTCTAACACAATTCCTGATACGTGGTCAGTACCAATAACTATTTGGCTGACTAAATTACTAAATTACCTGATTGTTTATTCATGGTGCTCAAAGCATCAGAATTCAGTTAACTATAGAATAGAGTTTTGGAAATCTCAACAATCGTCATCTTTGGCTGTGAATTTAACTTAATTTTTTATTATTACTTTTGGAAACTCACTTTTATAAAATCTGTAAGCTGTCATCAAGGGGTTAGCAAGTGGCCCTCTCCTTTGGAGGTGGGTAGGAGGAGGGGCCTTATCAAAACCCTAGAGGGTAAATTCTCTGAGGTGAAGTAGGCTTCTGCCTGACCAACCTCCAAGCTCCCATAATGTCCAGTACAGAAGTAAAACATGAGCTCTGGAGTCTTTTTTTTTTTTTTTTTAAGATTTTATTTATTTATTTGACAGAGAGCAAGAGAGGGAACACAAGCAGGGGGAGTGGGAAGGGGAGAAGCAGGCCTCCCGCGGGGCAGGAAGCCTGATGCGGGGCTCGATCCCAGGACCCCGGGACCACCACCTGAGCCGAAGGCAGACACTTAACGGCTGAGCTTTGGAGTCTTGACATCAGTAGGAATCCTGAGTTTTCTAGTATAGAACTAGGGTGTTAGTAGGCATGCTTATGAACTTCACCTTCCTCATTCTTCTTTTTTTTTAAAAAAGATTTTATTTATTTATTTATTTGAGGGGGGAGTGGCAGAGGGGCAGAGGGAGAGGGGCAAGCAGACTGCCTGCTGAGCGCAGAGCTTGATCTCAAGACCCCGAGATCATAACATGAGCCAAAATCTAGAGTGGGACGCTTAATCCACTACACCGCCAGGCACCCCACACCTTCCTCATTCTTAAAATGGAGATGATAGGGCGCTTGGGTGGCTCAGTTGGTTAAGCGACTGCCTTTGGCTCAGGTCATGATCCTGGAGTCCCGGGATCAAGTCCCACATTGCATCGGGCTCCCTGCTCAGCAGGGAGTCTGCTTCTCCCTCTGACCCTCTTCCCTCTCATGCTCTCTGTCTCTCATTCTCTCTCTCTCAAATAAATAAATAAAAATCTTTAAAAAAAAGAGTCTTCAATGTTACTTCCAAAAAATATCCTGAATCCACTACTGTTCATGTCCACTGATACAGACTTTCTGATTTCACAGACAGTAAGAAGTGAGATAGAGACTAATAATAAATATGGATTTTTCAGTCCTATATTGATTAAAAGGGAGTGCAGGTTTTAGTTATGTATACATTGACTAGGAGCCTTATAGAGAGAGGATGCACTGTAATGAATAAAAAATTACCTGTTCATTCTAGTGCTCCTCTGTAAGGATGTGGAATATTATAATTGGTGAATTAAACAAAAAGGTTCAGTTCGCACTGAATTTGACTATACTCTGTTTTCTACTATATCTTATAGATCTCTCCTCATAGATGCAGATATTCAAAGATCAGGACTAATGTTATTCCCAATACAATTTTATGGTTAAAACTTTATAATAATTTAAACAATTTAAAAATTAAGTATGCTCTGATAAATAATTTTTTGTTTGTTTTTACTGAAGAGCCCTAATCTCTCAGAAAATATAACCTTTAACCCCAAGGCTTGTGTTGACTCCAAAGCAAGCAAAACATGTTTCTTTCTCTTAAGTACATAGTTGTAAAATATGTCTATTATAGGAAGTAGTGTTAATTCATAAAGTATTCTAGTTACTTGTAAAATTCATTACTTTCTTCTTCTCTTTCCTTACTCCCCTCAGATATCAGTATGTATATATTTGTGGAGATATATATGTATATATATCTCCTTTGTGAAAGCTATGGTGGAGGAAAAGTCATGTCTTTTATTTCTGTAGCTGCTTGTGCTAAAAAGGCTTCTCTAATAGATTTATAGCCAGACACAATGCAAATTCCCTTTCTTCCAGAAGCCCCAAGTTGAGCTCACCAGTGTCTCACAGCTGCAAGACCTTCCTAACTCGTATGCCTGCTTTCGTTCTTGCCTCATTCTCCATCTGTTGCTTTCAGAATACCTATCAAATCATATCACACACACCCCCACACACGCTTTAAGGCACTCTAGTAGCTGCCTATTGTAGCTAGACTAAAGCCCAAACTGTTTACTTTGACCCCTAAGTCACTTCTGACCCCACCTCTGCCTCCCTCTCTGAGCTCATCTTCTCCCTCTCCAACACATGCTCTTCTCAGTGTTCCCTGGACACAAAACTCATTCCCATCACATGGTCTTCGCACTGATGCTACCAGGTCTTTACCTGACTGGTTCCTTCTCGTCACTCGAGTCTCATCTTAAGTGTCGATCCCCTGACACACCTTCCTTGACCTGTTTCTGAACTGCTCCCCACACCCATAAGCCAGTTTTATTTTCTTAGGTTTTATCACTATCTGATCTTGATGTATACTGCCTGTCTCTCTTCTTTAGAGTATAAATGCCATGTGGGCAGGACATGTTCTTGTTCACTATTTTGTATGCCCAGTGTCTAGAACACATGCCTGGCACATGGTAGGCATTCCGTAAATTTTATTGAATGAGCAAATGAATGAATGAACTTACGGACACTAGTTTTCTCAAAGGAGAGTTGCAAGATTTAGAGCTAATATATAAAAAGTGTCTGCCAAGGTAAGCTGTCTTTCTTTCTTTCTTTTTAAGATTTTA